AGACCAAAAGAGAGCATCACATCCTCTGGAGCTGGGGTTACAGGTGGTCGTGAGCCACCTGACATGGGTTCTGAGAACTAAACTCTGCTCTTCTGCAAGAGCAATAATCATTTTTAAAATTTGCTTTTTACTTTACATGTATGTGTTTTGCCTGCATGTATGTAAGTGCACCCAGGTCATGCAATGCCTGTGGAAGCCAGAAGAGGAAGTCAGATCCTCTGGAACTGGAGTTATGGATGGTTGTTCTACCATGTGGGTGCTGGGAACTGAACCTGTGTCTTCTATAAGAGCATCCAGTGCTCTTAACTGCTGCACCATCTCTCCAGCCCTTACTGGTTTTGTGTTTGTTTGTTTGTTTGAGACAGTCTCTCACTTTGTAGCCCAGGCTAGACTCAAACCCATTGGGATTCCCCTGCCTCAATATCCTAAGTGCTGGAATTATAGGCATGTGCCGCCACCAGTGACCATAAAGGTTTTTTGGTTTTGTTGATTGTTTATTTGGAGACAGGATATCACATAGCCCGTCCTGGCCTTGAACTTACTATGTACTTGAGAATGACCTTGAACTTTTGGTCCTTCCTTCTGTAATTACAGGTGTGCACCACCATGCCTAGTTTATATGGTTCTGGGGGTTGAACTCAGGGCCTTGTCCATGCTACGCAAGCAACAAGCACTCTACCAACTGAATTATACCCTAACCCTCTGTTCACATCTCACATCCATCTATCTATCTATCTATCTATCTATCTATCTATCTATCTATCTATCAATCATCATCATCTATTGTCTATCATCTATCATCTACCTATCATCTATCATCTATCTATCTATCAACTATCTATCTATCTATCTATCTATCAACTATCTATCTATCATCTATCTATCTAATCATCTATTGTGTGTGTGCCACAAATGTAGACATCAAAGGACAACTTTAGAGAGTTGGTTCTCTCCTCTCACCTAGGTCCTAGGTGCGGGGGTCTCTCCCTCTCTTCGCGGGTCATTGGCCACCGGCCCACGAGGGCAGGGAGAGCAGAAGCGGTGAACAGGGTCAGGATGGCCAGTGAGCACTGATGGAAGACAGCCCTTCCAGGGAGACTGGTCACAGGCACAGTGAAACAGCAGTGATACAGCTCCAGACAGTGAAACAGCTCCGTTTATTCAGTGAGAGAACTAGAGAATTTATGGTGTGGAGGCAGTAGCAAAAGCCTCAGCTGATAGGTGCTCATAGTATGCTTTATTTACATGTGGCAGTGGGCTCCTATCTTCCAGACTATCAGGCAATGCCTGATTATCATATAGAAAAAACCTGGGGGTAGTTTTTACTCCAGGTAACTATGCCAAAGGTCATGTTTCAGATAAGGTCAGGCATCTGTGCTTGGTGGCACTTTCCAGGTGAGCCAGGAAGAGAGCAGGAGGCCCCCTGCTGAAAAGGGGAGTCCTTCCATTTGGCGCTGAGCCCCTCAGGGCTATCCGGACATGGAGAACTACAACCCTAACAGCAGGGTTCCCCGACACTAGGGATGGAAATCAGATCACCAGACTTAGCAGCATGCACCTTTACCTGATGAGCCATCTTAGCAGCCCCCTGTTTTGTCTGTTTTTATGGCATGATCTTGCTATGTAGCCCAAATGCCGGTGCCAGCCAGCCAAAACGGACAGTACCTGAAAGGGGGAGTGAGGATTGAAAGAAAGGAAAGGAGACAGAAAAGGTGCTTGGGAGGGCTCACAGTAAATACTGCAGCTCCGATTTATTTCAGTTCTGCCTTTTTATACAGAAGAACTCAATTAGTTACAACTGCTGTATTTCCCCACCTGTATCTGAGGGTCAGGGAGCGGTCAGATCAAAGGCTTCCACTATTGCCTCAAGGTCAGGTGTTGTGAGGCTCTCCATATAAACATATTCCTCCTGATAAGGCAGATTAGATACTGGTGTGCATAACACACACTCAGTAAACAAGCCTGACACAGCTCAATGATTAGCAGCTCCCGACACACAAACTCACCTTGAGTTTGAGATCCTTCTTCCTCAGCCTCCCATGTGCCGGATACACAGATGTACACCACCATGCCTGGCTGGAAATTAGAAAGAGAAGACATGCTCTTAGGTGGAACTGGTTGAGGTAGTTGACACCTGCAGTCTTAGCACTGGAGAGTCTGAGGAAGGAGGATCACAAGTTCCAGCTTGACCTGGGCTACATAATGAGATGAGAGAGAGAGAGAGAGAGAGAGAGAGAGAGAGAGAGAGAATAGTCTAATGCGGAAGGCTATAATCCTAGCACTCAGGAGGTAGAGGCAGGAAAATCAGAAGTTCAAGGTCAGACTGAGGTACATGAGATTGTATAAGAAAGGGTGGGGGAGGGCTGGAGAGATGACTCAGGGGTTAAAAGCATTGACTACTCCTGCAAAGGAATCGGGCTCCATTCCCAGCACCCACATGGCAGCTAACAACAGTCTGTAATTCCAGTTCCAGAGGGATCTGATGCCCTTTTCTGACCCCCACAGGCATTGCACGACACGGGTGCATTGACACACATGCAGGCAATACACTCATACACATAAAATAAAAATTATAAAATATTTTCAAAACCAAAATGGTAGTGTATGCCATTAATCTCCACACTCCAGAGGCAAAAGCAGGTGGATCTCTGTGAGACTGAAGCCAGCCTGATCTACAGAGTGAGTTTCAGGCTAGCTGGGGCTACAATTTCAAAGAGAGAGAGGAAAAGGAACCCAGGACAATGGCTCACTGGGTAAAAACACTTGCTGCCAAGCTTGATGACCTGACTTCCATCCCAGGGACCTACATGGAAGAAGGCGAGAACTGACTCCTGCAAGTTGTACACACACATACACGCACACACACACACACACACACACACACACACACTAATGTGAAAAGGGGGGAGGGGGACCACAGCAAGTGTGTTTGTGTCTGTCATCCCCACCACCAGCCTGACGTCTTCAAGAGCAAAGACTTTTCTCTTGGTATCTCTGATGCCAACACACAGCTTGTCACAGAAAAGGTATCTTCTATTTGCTGAAATAGCAGGTGACCCAAATGAGACTCATGGGAAACGTGGGGCTGACTGCCTTCAAACGGTCCATCCCTACCTCAGGCTAGCACTAAGGGTCAGATGAGGAGAAAATTCTGGAACGATGCCAAGGTCTTGCAGAGCCTCCCTGGGGCTGTGTCTCAAATCAGACAGTTCTGGTAAGCAAGAGACAGGTGTGGATGGGGGACAGTCCTTATTACTGGGAAGCCGCCTGCGGGTTCTGCTGTCAGTGAAACATGTCGCACTGACTGGAGGCTACAGTCCCCACCCCAGCGAGCAAGTGTTCCGTGTCCTCCCTGAGAACACAGGGATCAGCCCCCAGGTTCACTCCAAGCTTCTCTTTGTTCTCCAAACCCTCCTAAGTCATCTCTTCTTGGAGTTCTAACTGCCCAGACCCACGCCAGGCCCTCAGTCCTGCTCCTATTGCCCCGTTCAAACTTAGGGACCCTCCCCCACTTTCTCCTCCAGCTCCTTCCACAAATCAGTGCCTTAACCACTGGACCGGACATGTGGCTCCATCCATATTCTCAACATTAAGTTAACGAAACCCTCTCTGAGCCAGGTGTGGCACATTAAACCCTGTCTCAAAAGAAGAGAAATGAGAGAGAGAGATGGGATGGGGGAGAGAGAGGAGGGGAGAGAAAGGGAAATGGGGAAGGAATGGGAAAGCAGAGGCAGGAGATGAGGGTTAGGGGAAGAGAGGGAGGGAGGGAGGGAAGGGAGAAGGGAAAGAGAAGTAAGAGAAAACCTTTCCAGTTGCTGATGGAGTCCAGTGTCTACCCTTAGCCCTAAAGCAGGGTATCCCATCCATGTCAAATGTCCCTGGACACCTAATCTCCCCTTCTTCCATGCTTCCCCATATCTGGTCTCCCATAACCACCTTGCTGAGAGACAGCTGCTCGGTCACAAACCTGTGCCTCCCATCTCCAGTGATATCAAATTCTTTGCTTGACTTACTGCCCTTGTCCTCCCTAGGTACCTTCATTACACATGATGGATGTGTGAATAGTGTCCAGGGTGACCACTGCCCCCCACACTGACCCCCTGCTCCCCTGGTCCCTGCTCCCTAGACCCACATAAATCCTCATATTGTTTTTTTTTATTAATTCATTAATTTTTATTTTATGTGTATAGGTGTTTTGCCTGCATGTATGTAAGTATGCCCATGTGTACAATGCCTGCGAAGGCCAGAAGAGGACATCGGATCCTCTGGAACTGGGGTTATCAATGGTTGCTAGGCACCATGTGGCTTCTGGGAACCAAACCTGGGTCCTCTGC